TGTCCCAGCACACGTGTCCGGGTGGCAAGGCCCTCTATGTCCCAGCACGCATGTCCAGGTGACAAGGCCCTCCATGTCCCAGCACGCGTGTCCGGGTGACAAGGCCCTCCATGTCCCAGCACGCGTGTCCGGGTGGCAAGGCCCTCCACGTCCCATCCAGGCCCCTGTAACTCAGGCAGCAACAGCACAGGCCCCAGGAAGAAGGCGTACCGAGCTGTGCCACCCACTGCACCTCGGTACGTTTCCAGCTGGGTCTCTGCCAGCTCCCTGCGTCACTCCCCAGCAGGCTCCCTTCCCTGCGATCTTTGCCTGCCCTGATACCTAGCCTGCCCGTAGCCCTCTAGCCTGCCAAAACATTTGCACATTTGTTTTCAGTACTGAGGATTAAATCCAGGGCCTTTGCACCAAGCAATTTCCGTGAAACCATGTCAGTGACTCAGTAGCATTCAGTCTCTAACTGGCCTAGGCTGGGCTCGAACTTGCTACCCTGCAGACTCACCCCTCACAGTGCAGAGAGTACAGCTGTGTACCACCATACCTGGCCTGATTTGCAGATTTTTCAGTCTGTGACACACCTGAAAATCTGCAGAAGCATGGGAGTGTTTCTGATAGATACCTCCTGTCACCTACACTACAGACTGAGTTTACATCAAAGCTGGGGGAACAACATGACCCAAGTCATGAAGGACCCAGGCTCCTTCCTCACAGTGAGCCTCATACAAAAGCCTGGCAGAGGGGGACTCAGTCTTGGCTGAGTGAGAGCGCAGCAACTCCAGCCACAGCCAAGAGGAAAATGTTCCTGGAGGTGAGGGCCGCAGAGCCATGGGGCAGAGACCTGAAGGGACAGTGTGACAGCAGATGGGGTGCCCTTCCCGGCTAGAGCTGGGGGCCTTGTGCAGCAGCCCTGGGAAGTGGGAGTTAGAGACCACACCGATGAAGAGCGGGAGGATGAAGGGAGCAGAAGGGGGCCAGAGTTAGGCCCTGGGATCTGGCTGGGGAGCCCACATGCTGATGCCCCAGCACCCACGGCACCCCAGCTGCAGGCCTGTTTTCCAGTGGTCTGAGCACAGCTCCCCTCACCCTTTAAGGGCTTGTGTGTGGTACTATCCGTGGTGCACTGAGGGACAGCAGGCTCCTTGCCTCAGACCCATGCACACTCAGGCAGGCACTGGTCTGGCTACAGGGGCAGCCCGGCTCCACCCACAAGGCAGTGCTCCCAGGCCAGGCCCTCCTGTGATGACACACGTCTCCGACATCCCCTGAGAATGAAGTGACTGGCGCAGTGCAGGGCGGAGCGCCATGGCTAGCACAGCTCAGGGCCAGCTTTAGGACACACTTCACAGCAGCACACACGGCAGCCAGATCAGGTGCTCACCCAGGAAGAGGTGCAGGCACTGTGCTGTCCAGCCTTGGTAAGAGACCAGCACCTTCCCGAGCATCGCCAGCGCCTTCCTGTGAGCCCAGCCCCTCCCTTTAGATCTCCACATTCTGCGTGGAGGACAATTGCTTTGGGTGTGACACTTATTTTAGTGGCTGAAACTCGGTGAGGTTTGAAAGCAAGCATGCTCTCGCGGCCTCTGTTCAGCCAACGTTCAGAGGTGTCCGGGCACAGGGAGGAATGAGACAGACGTGCCCGCGCATCTTCAGATGGGCAGAGATTCAAGTGGACAGCTGCATCCGGCTCCTTGGTAGGGCTTGGTTTCACCTGCACTGTTTTATACAGAAAATCTGAGCCACATTTTCAGGCTAGGGAAGTCCTGGTTCTCTCCTGAGGGGCCGGGCTGCCGGCTCCTTCTGCATGGCAGATGCTCCTGGTCTCTGACCTGTCTCTCCCTACTGTCTCTGGACACTCAGATGCTTCCTTCCACTTGCCTTCTCCAGGCACCCACAGGTGGCCCACAAGTGATGCTCCTGCCGCAACCCCCGTCTTAGCACACAAACAGGACAGGGCAGGCAGGCCAGGCAGGAGGTCTGAGCCCCCCGACCCCGCCAGCTTACCTGAAATAGGAACAGACCCCAGCCTGCACCTACCTCCGACCACTCTCCCGTGATCCAGATGTACTCGCAGGGCTGCAGGCTGCAGCTCTCGTGGTCCGGGGGCCGCTGGCTGGCACTGCAGAGACTGCTGTGAACCTCGTCCTGGGCCTCGTCCACACACACCACTTGGCGGAAGCGGGAGCCCTCGCCGCAGGTCTTGGAGCACTGTGAAAGAAGCGGGCAGCTTGGGACGGGAGCCACGCCGTGCCCGAGGAGTGTGCATCCTCCAAGACCTCTCAGATGGTGGTATGGGGCAGGGATGGTAGAGAGCACCTAACACTACCCAGTCACCGTGCACAGTGAGACTTCTGGGTGTGGAACGAAAAAAGGCTGGGGTGTAGCTCAGAGTGAGGCCCTCAGCTGAGTCCCCAGTTTCTCTCTCTCTCTCTCTCTCTCTCTCTCTCTCTCTCTCTCTCTCTCTCTCTC